CACTCTTATCATGGTGAGTATATTAAACACAATGAGGAATGTGAAAAGAAGGAGTTACAAGTCCTGCAAAGGTTAGTTCATGTTTACACAAAACCTAGCACCTCATTCAAATCCAATTCAATTAGGAAACCATGTCCTGTCAATATGTAATTACCCCCTGTATTGCTGTTACTCCTTTATTACCTCACTGAAGGGCTTTGGTTCTTTTTTCCAAAATTCACATGGGAGCACACACTCACAGACATGTGGACGCACAAAGCTATATCTGCAGGTTAATTAGATGGTGATAGATATCATCACAGGTATGACATAAGGTTTATTTGCAAGGGAAATGGGGGAAATGTAGCCTTTATTAAATGTCTGCCTCGTGCCCACAGGAGGCCTCCTAATTGCTGCCTGAGACATACAGCAATTTCCACCCAATTTACTTCTGGCAGGCATAGTGTATACTGCACTCTTTGCTGAATGCCCACAATGCCAGGTAGGCGTGCCTACTTCACTTAGCTGACTAGGTCATCACTGTACAATCTCACTAAACCTTGTTGAATGACACTAGCACTGCAGCAGCTCTTACCTTTTTAATTACAAATCAGCATGAAAGGACAAAACAGGTGGTTTAATGATGTACTGCACTGACAGGTAACTTCTGGCTGCATTTGCCCCCTTCTGGGTTTAAAATGAAGCGTTGCTATTGTGTAGCTGTCCTCTCTGGCTCAAAGCAATGCTCTGTCTCCAAGGTGACAACACATTTACATTGTAGCCATGGACACCACATCTATCACCTTGTGCATGTAATTCAGTGACTTGCAAATCAAAGAGGCATCACTCATGGTGACGAGATCAACTACGCCTTTCACAAACAAAGTCAAAATGCAACGATAGAGACTTTTAACAATTACGACATAAAGTCACAGCACCAGTGATAAAAGATGCTGACTGACAGAAAAATCGATGTGTATCAATAGCTTGCCCATTGGGGGCATGGCGTGAGGTGAAGGATAAGCATGTCCCTTGGTCTGATGATATGATATTCCCTGCCAGCTCATCACATTCACTCCTAGCCCCGTTGCAGCTCTGACTTTGTATTATTGAGCTCGGGCCCTCCAGCTGTTTAGAGCTCTATATTTCAAGTAATTGAGTCGGGGCAATACAAGAGTGGAGCCACAGAGTGTGCGTGTGTAAGTGTGTATGAGACTTTGACTGTGTGTATGTAATAGATGTTTTGACTGACATGTCAAAGGTAATTGAGTCGTAGGAAAGAGAGAGTGAACTTGCCAGCTGCCAGTCTCTTATAAGCTGAATCCATCAGAATGCAACACTCCCTATAACCTAAAGAGACAGGTGTGCATGTGTGTGTGGGCTATAGAGTCTGAAGACACTGCACCTCCTACCAGGCAGGGTTACAGCTTTTGAAAAGGCCACTGCACTGTGATCCTGTGTTATTAGCTTTTCCCTTATTTTAAAACATCCTGAATAATGAATGGAGCTTCAACATGGACATAATCATAAAGTCAATCTGTTCAAGTTGAAAAAAATAAAGTCCCTCATCTCCTCAGTCTGGATGATTTAGTTCAAAGAAACACCTTTCCCTTTAAACGCAGTTTTCTGAGTGGATTCTTACCTAAAATGGAGCTCTGTGATGGTTTTAAGAACAAAAAATGAAAAAGATTAAACATCTGCACATTTGCCAGCACCTTTTTGCGTTGCTCCTTGTTGCGATACAAACAACAGTGCAAGTTAAACTGAATATCAAATCCTAACATTTGCCTGGTAGATTGACTGCAGGACATCCACTCTATAAACATTATCCACATATTTCTGTTGAGATAACAAGTTGTCCACCTACCTACAGTATATGGGCAGTTATCATACAGTAATGGTCACATCATTGATCATTGACAGTATAGAAGCACGCTCCATCTTGGCTTTTGATGCTGACTTCAACTCCACAGAATCAAATCAACGAACCTCAAGGACAGAGCTGAGCGGCCAACAGCTGTGCTAGTCTGGACATGATCTGTCGGTCTCCTCCAAGGTCACAGTGTGACAGTGTGAGCAAGATGTTAAATTCAGCCTAGAAAAAGAGATACACATCAACAAATAATATTCAAATGTTTATTTAAGAAGCCTTTTGCTTCATATACCCCATGTTATGTTTTTTTTATTTTCTTCAGATTATTTTCATAGATCATAAAACTGTTGATTGTATGCACTCATTTATCTTGCCTTTGTTTGTTTTGTTGACCTCACCTTATACAAGCAATTGTCAGAGCCTATGTCATTATTCCAGATAAACAGGAACTGAGATGAACATTGTGTGCAGGTTGACATGCTTTCTGCCCTTGGTGTTCTTTCATCGGGGGACATTTCATTCAAGGACATTTCTCTCTGCACCCTACTTGTCAGCAGCCCAGAGTATATGGCTGTCACATCTACAATTTGACCCACTTTAGTACATTGTGAAATGTGTCAATTCTAACTCCACCAACACTTCAAACACAACAACACATTTTTACAGCAGACTATAAAAATGTCAATTTATACTTTGTTTTAGGATCATGTTTTAGGAAGTGAAAGGATTACAACCGTCTTTACCTTTGAGACCCTCGTTTATCTAGCTTTGAGGCCAGTGCTGATTCTTGGAGGACTATCTCAACATCAAAAACACAAGTAAGAAAATAACTACTTCCTGTCTAGGCTTTACGTCATGAATGAGTTATAGCTAAGGTAGCCTGTCTATTTGTGCACTATATCATGGCAGTGTTGATCATTCATAAAGCATCCCATTAACTTAAATTTAGGAGTTTACTTTTAACCTGTAAGATTAACCTTTACTTCTACTATTTTCTTTGTAAGAGCAGCACCTGGTGGGCAAAAATCGAATAGCATGTGCAATAGTGATTGCCTAACTTTATATCAGGCCACTGCATCTTGCTTCCTTTAAACATATTGCTCTATTTGGATTAGGCTTAGACTATGGGAGTGTAGTTTATGGATTTGCAATCAAAAACTGCACTTGTAGGATTAGATGTGATCCAGGCCTGGGCTCATAGATTATGTATGGAGCAATATGTATACCAAATCCACCTACCTCAAGTACATGACACCTTCACATAATATTCCAGCATCCTTTGCACTATGCTCCATCACGTTGTGTACATGTATGCTTGTATGTGTATGTGCACCGGTATATCTCATCTACCTCCAACATGTACATAATAATAATAATAACAATTCTGGTAATATTAATTTACTCCTGCATCCTTTGCAATCTGCTCATTGCACTACTGCACTATTGTCTCAGTCTATCCATTTTGTTTTTGTTTATAGTGTGTATATACGTGTTCTCTATACTGTAGCCTGTGTTTGACTACTGTATTATTGTGTTATTGTATTATTGTACAAGTAAGCACATCATGAGCATTGTACAATCCAGAGTCAAATTCCTCTTATGTGTACGCATACCTGGCAATAAAGCTGATTCTGATTCTGATATGAACTGCAGCTGTGTGTACCACTGTGCTTATGCAGGAATTAGCTCCTAGTCAACTATTGGGAGGAATTTAAGAAGTCATGGAGATAGTCACTCCTGGACAGTAGATGCAGCAGCAAGAGACCTGGGAGTATATGAAAAGGAGTTTTGTCCAACTGTGATATGGTCTGTAATCTCTGTGTCAGAGTTCTGATAAGTGAACAGCAGGATTGAGCCCAAATGCAGGACATTGGAGAGCGGACTGAAGGTGCAAGGGTTTTAATCCACAAAACACAGAAAATCAGGCCCAAACAACAGCACAGAACCAGGCAGAACACTCCACACATGACCGTACACAGACTGACAGAACAGACAACCATTTATACAGGGGCAAACAAGCTGGGTGGGAGCACAACAGGTGACAGAAAAACTCCAAACATGATAGGAAAACAAGTATCAAGAACACAAATTCAAAACTAACACTCAAAACCAACGGACAGAGTCAGACCAGGATCGTGTGTGGTTACTAGAAACTCTGTTGGTACATTTAGACATACTTAAAATTAAGGCAAGAAATAAAAGTGCGGATTTAGTAAATGTGTTTTATAGTTACAAAGAACATAAATATATACAGTATGTGCAGGTTTTTACCAATGCATCGAAAGATCCAATAGGCTGACAGATAATACAAGTGTTGCAGTTGCAGTTCCTATTCACAGAGTGAAAACACTCTTCACAATGCTCTAACCCAAATAATGTTGAGTTGTACCCCATTTTGATAGCTTTAGCATGGGTTGGGCAAACCAAACCAAACAAAGCTCTAGCCTGTAGCGATGCAGTCTCTGCTCTGTCCTGCCTTAATTCAGATGCATCTAGCAGGCCTAATTGTCAAAAAAATGGCAGTACATTCAAGAGTAATAAAACAAGGCACTGTGGTTTCACATTCATTTGGGTTCCTGCTCATAGGGGCATTCTGGGTAATGACAGAGTGGACAAACTAGCCAGATAAACTGTTAAAAAAGAATACAGAGACTTAGAAAGGGAACTGTATGGAAGAAAATGAATAAAGAGTGGCAACGGCACTGCGAGATAAGCAGAATACATTTACACTCAATTTAAAGTAGTTTAGGTATTGTGAAATCACAGAGGAAATACAAAAAGGAGGTAATAATGACATGATTAAGAGTAGGACGCAGTAATCTGAACAGCAACATCACATTATAAGGAAGCATCCGACTTTTCTTTGTGAACATTGTCAGGTACCAACAGCTGCAGAACATATGCTTGTCATTTGCAGAAAATACATATCAGAGAGAAAGGACATTATGGGGGAAAAAAGGTTAAAACCAGCAAAGCAAAGATCATACATATTGGTAATCTTCCTAAAGAAAACAGGAGGACTGATGGTAAACATCTGATGAACCGGACATTGTAGGAGTTGAGTAACTCCAGAAGATGGCAGTAATGCAACACCAAGGATGCAGGCTGTCGTCAAACCTGATAAAAGAAGACGAAGAAGAAGGAACCTTGGAGCTGAACAAGCCTAACACGGAAGTCATGAAGGCTAAGCTACTATGCTAACCGGCTGTGTAGCCGGTTCTTGCTGACAGTTACTCACCTCCAGTTAACTTTAACTGTAATTTACGTAGCTGCTACAGAGGGGGATGGCAATCAGTGCTGTCTAGCTGTTACTATTTAGTAAAACAAAATAAATCACGCAGCTGAGGCGCTAAAAAATGAGAGAAGGGTGAGTATCTGTGACTGCTATAACATTACTGATGGCACTAGCATCTGTGGGATGATAGCTTGATGGTTAGCATGTTACGGAGCTAACCTGCGGCTAGTTAACTATAGCGTTAATTTTAATATGGTTTAGTTCGGGTTTTATGGTCAGTAACTTTAAAACTTGTTGTATCACCGTCTCTGGGTTGACAGCTTGTTTTGACAGTTTAGAAAAACGTTGCGTCGTGATTGCTGCCCGTAACGTTATATGTTAGTTAGCGTTAGCAGGCTAACGCTAACTGTCCGAGCACTCCTAAAGTACCGTTATGTGCTTTTCACCAGGCAAGCATCAGTGGTCACGATCTTTTCCTTGTGGGTGGGGTCAAGACATTTTTCAACCTTGTAAAATTTGTACATGTATCCTCAGTTTGTTCCCAGCAACATTAACGTTAATGTAATATAACGTTACTCCCTTAAGTGCTCATTCCTGGTCGCGTAGAGCTCCACCGCTGCAAGTAACATTGCATCTGTTTCCATTCTGCTCACATCTGATTAGGTGAAGTTGGCTGAACACACCCGATCCACCTAATCAGGTGTAAGTACAGCAGGGAAATATGGAAAATGTGTTGTGATTGGGCCATCCAGGACCTGGCGTGACCACCACTTCCATCTGCTTGATGTGTTGTGAAGCGTTGGTTGGGAATGATTAAATTGCAGTTGTACTAGGCACTAGTCAGATTGTATTTTGTATTCCCCCGAACACAGGATGGAAATGGACAGTACTGTTCCCAGTAGCTAAATGGTTTGATTGATTGACAGAATCAACAACACAAAGGGCTTTTTATTAAGTTATGACTGATTTAATCAATTTATGGCTGTTAGGTGTCAAACCTTTAAAGCCTTTAATGGTCATTGTGTAAGGTCGTTTGCTTTAAAGCAATCATTTGCCTAAGTATAATATGTATTGACATACTGCTTAATTAAATGTTTATTATTTTTTGCTTTTTTTTTCAAAACGAGTCCCCTTGGGAGACAGTAAAGAAAGTGCCACACAACCATTAACCTCGCATCTGATCAGATATGTTAAACATTTTCAGAGGTGATTCAATAAAGTACGTTTACATTCATTTTTAAAGGGTTACACTCAGAATTATTAAATAAACTTTCAGTCATTCAACTTAAAAGCAAGTATTTTTTACGTTTTCCATATACACCTTTTACTATTTGATTAAATTGTATTGTAATAGGGTTTATATAATCTACAAAAAATAGCACAGATTGATTTAACCCGTAGTTAGCTAGGCAGAACATTCCACAAACCTTTATTGAGTGCATCCACTGATTGGATGAACATTATCTTGTGGTGATAATCAGTCATTTCTATCACACAAATACTAGATATTTAATTGTTGCAGATTCACAACTTTTCTAAAAAGAATTTGTTGCAAGTTCTCCTACGTTGCCTACGCCAGCTTTAACTAAAACTGTTTTTCTAAATACTTTCCATAATAATTTACATTTATATTTACCTACTTTCCCCTCTCTCCCCTGTACTTTCTTTGGTTGTCTGTGTATTTGCAGAGTGTGTGTCGTGTGACTCAGCTCTTGTGAAGCAATGGAGAAGCCCTGGAGGCTGTGGGGGGCAGTGGAGCGTTGTACCCTGACTCTGGCCTCTTGGTCCTGGGGTGCTTGTCGAGTCTCCCTTTTGGCCCTCATCCTCACCTTCCACCTGTACGGGGGATTCTTTCTCCTAGCTCTTATCCTAGCCTCTGTGGCTGGCATCCTCTACAAATTTCAGGATGTGCTCCTCTACTTCCCTGACCAGCCCTCCTCCTCTCGCCTTTATGTTCCCATGCCAACAGGAATCCCACACGAGAATGTGTACATTCGCACCAAGGACGGTGTGAAGCTTAACCTCATCCTGCTTCGCTACACAGGAGGGGACACGCCTCCTGGTGTCACCCCTGGCAATCAAAGCAGCCCCACTTCCTCTGCTCCACCTACCATCCTTTATTTCCATGGTAATGCAGGTAATATTGGTCACAGGGTGCCAAACGCCCTGCTGATGCTGGTCAATCTGAAAGCTAATGTGGTGCTGTTGGACTACCGTGGCTATGGAAAGAGTGAGGGTGAGCCCAGTGAGGATGGGCTGTACCTGGATGCCGAGGCCACACTGGACTATGTCATGACCCGTCCTGATCTGGACAAGACTAAGGTGGTGCTATTTGGCCGCTCACTGGGGGGTGCTGTGGCTGTGCGCTTGGCATCAGCCAACCCTCACCGTGTAGCGGCCATTATTGTTGAAAACACCTTCCTCAGCATCCCACACATGGCAGCAACACTCTTTTCCTTCTTGCCCATGCGCCTGCTGCCCTTGTGGTGCTATAGGAATCAGTTCCTCTCCTATCGGCAGGTGGCGCTGTGCCGCATGCCCTCTCTGTTTGTGTCTGGTCTGTCGGACCAGCTCATCCCACCTGTCATGATGAAACAACTGTATGAGCTGTCTCCTGCGCGGACTAAACGCCTGGCTATTTTTCCAGAGGGCACACACAACGACACTTGGCAGTGTCAGGGCTACTTTGCTGCTTTGGAGCAGTTCATGAAAGACCTGCTGAAAAGCCACGCCCATGAGGAGAGTGCTCAGCCCTCCGCTAGCGTCACCATTATCTGAGCCAGGGACTGTTGACTACAGGTTATGAGCTGGAGAAAGTAAAAGCTGTCACGGAAATTGATTAAATGAACTTTATTGATGTTTGGAAAGAATGTAAATTTTTTCGATGCTTTGTCTGGGGTTTTATTTTATTTCACTCTTTATACCTTTTGTGTAAATGTAACATTTGTTGATTGATTGAACTATTTCAAAGTTTTAATAGGGAACAATCCCCTCATGGGTTCTTTTGTGTTGCAGCTAGGAATGCATGTATTTATGACCTTAAATGAATGAAGCCAGATCATACATGCCCACACTGCAGGACATGTCATTACCACAAAAACAATTGCCGTAATGGGTTTACTGAAATTAATTAAAATCACAAACAATTGTTTATAGTTAATTACCATATGAGGACATAGACCTACAATTTTTGAGTGAAAACTGATTACTACTGGAATTCAAATTATACTTCTTCAGATATTCAAAATGAGACTAGTAATATGGAAGCCTGTGCTGTGTGTGTGTATATATCTTTGTTAATACACTTTTTTGTTCAGATTTCGGTGTTATGTAGGTGAATGCCTTCTGAGCAATACCTGGAGCATAAGGATGTGTTTGTCCTCTCTCTCATTTTGGTGAGGAATATAAATATTGCAGCAGCTTGGCATGATATGACATTGTACTGATCAATATTTATTCATACCCTTGAAAGTTTGTCTGGCACAATAGCATAGAAAATGTGTGCTGTTGAAACTGTTGTATTCAGTCACAAGAAAGTGTTGGCTGAGATGAAGTGGTCGGTACTATAATGTTGACACAGTTGTTACTTCCGGCTGTCAGAAATAAGTTCTTGAGATATTTCCTGTCAAAACGCTTCTGTTTCAGTGCGATTGGGATAAGCTAGAAGATATTTCTCCCCATTTCTGTGTCCTGTTAAAACACAACAAACACACAGGATAGTCTACTCTCAAATGGGCTCATTGGCTATTGAACAACTTTGCCTCCTGTAGTTTGGTAAGGAGCATTTGCTCTGTGTGTGGTTTGTTATTAAATCATGGGTGCAGATTTCTTTACGTCTATCTTTGTACAACACTAGAATACATATACCCATGTGTACACTGAAAGAGTTATTGGTCACTGCAATCCTCCTTTCATACACACTGTGAAGAGATCATTTTCTAATGTTAATCCATTGGATGATATTGGGGAAATACACACGTACTCAAGGTTAAGCAGAAGCTATTATGAGCAGTCAGCAGGCTGAGTAAGATTAATTAAGTGGGTATTTTCTAAGGTAAAGTCTATAGAGAAGATTTCCTGTTTGTGTTCCTATTCCTCCACTTAGGTCAACAAGGAAATACAGTGGTAAATTCCAAGGAATATTTTGTGTGTGTGTGTGTGTGTGTGTGTGTGTGTATATATATATACACACACGTGTGTGTGTGTTGTTTTTTTTAAGCATTTCATGGATAAATTATTAGTCATTTTATAATGTTTGTTTTTTCTTTTAAACAAGTGAAAAACTACCCAATATATTTAATTTTGAAATGTTTTTAAAACATTTACTAAAAGCACATGGTATGAATATGCAAAGTTATTCAAGTGTAAATTATCTTTTTAAATAAAACAAACATAAGGTGGAATATACATAGGCGCAATATATTCTTTGGCACATAATGTCCACTGGAGTAGACAGATGTATTTTCAGTCACGGAACAAAATGTAAAAAAAAAAAAAAAAACAGAATTTAAATATGGCTAAAAGTATTTCTATCATCCTATTTAGTTGAAAAATATGTTGTTTTACTGTTCTAGATTTCTGAGAATGAAATGTTTGTGCAGTTATTGCTGAGGTTCTTGGTGCATCTCCACTTCCCTCTCCTATTTTGAATTTTTGATGCAGTATATTGAAATGACAGAGATAATAATCAAATAGAATTGTAGAAAATGCTTTGGGGGCGCCATGAGGTGGTTGGGACATGGTACTAAAACTTACTGTCCACTGTAGTGGACATCATGCGTAAAAGGCTTAAGTTACTTACTTTATTTATCTAACTTAGACAGCTGAAGCCTCACAGTAACTTAAACTGAACTTTAGAATGAATGTTTACACAGAAAGAGGACTGGAGGATACTAATTGCACAAGGAAGGGATTTCTTAATGGCCAGTGCAGACCAGAGGAATGCTTACACTTACTCTTTCATCACACACACATATGGGCATGTGAGTATTGTACAAAGATAGTTTTGCAAAACGTGTGAGCATGTTTAATCAAAAGTTGTGGGTTTTTTTCTGTTAGCTATTATCATCAGCGTCATAGTTGTTAATTGGATGATTCTAGGTTCTCACCTCACCCCATGCTTTTGTGACAACATTGCTTTACTCACTTGGAGGGCTTTTAATGAGCTAATTAACCTTTCCTGCGCGTCTTCCAGGGAGTAGAGCAGAGCCTGGCGATTAAAACACTGTTTATCTGCTCCTACTTTCCAAATGCAGCATGCAGCACTGCAGTGGTATCAAAGCCATTTTAATACAGATCTCCTTAGCCATATTTGATATTGTTTGTAAACAGTACGCTACACAAAATTTAACAAACATCAAAAGACCACATTTGTTTGTGTCAATGTGATTACAACTATGGCCTAAAGGCTACTTTGAATGTAAATTGTGGTCTCAGTTAAACAAGTGTGCTTTATAAGAAATGTATAGACCGTCTTTTCTCCCATTTTGTGGCACAGAAGAGTTTCAGACATTTTTGTATTATACCAAATCCACGAGCTGAGTTAGATGCATTCAACTTAATGATTTTTATGCCAACATATGTCTGCAGAGCACATTGTGCAATCTGAATTCAACCTTGTACATTCTACATTCATTTACTGGGTCACACTTTATTTTACACACTTCCACTGTTGGTTTGCATTGCATCCTCTCTTCATATAAGAAAAGATGCAGGAACTTTTCGTCATTCTCTTGATTTATTTTCGTTGCTGGCTTAAAGCAAAATGAATAACTAGAATAATGGGGGATTTGTCCTAGCTAAATGTATTATTGTTGTTCAATTAATTTATCCAGTTGATGAAAAGATATGGAATCACTGAATGTCTGTCCATTTTTTAATAAAGAAAATAATTGTGGTATTGTACAAAAGCTTGTGAATAGAGGGGAATGAATGCAGTTGAAATCATTGGAATTTGTATGTGCAATCTGGCATGTGATTACGCACATTTGAACCTGCACAGTGTTGATGTTGTTTTTGTACATCTACCATGACTTAAGTGACTCCACACTCACAAAACATTGATGGGATCTCTGAACAGTCACACATCTGAATGATTCATCTTTAACTTTAGTATGGCGCAGTCAGTTTGAGGGATTTTCCATTTTAGATCAATGTTTCTTTTCTATTTCGAAGCAATGTTAACTTCTTTTGTAAACACACATTTTCACTTTCTATTTTCTGTACGGTTACATGCAATAAATTGATACATTAAATGTGCTTGTCATGATTGATTTTTCTGTTGTAAACAAGCTTTTTTATGAAACAGTTCCAAATTCATCTTCATTTAACTTGTCATAACTTCACTTTTTATATTCTGGGAATCACTGTTTGTATGTTTTGTTATGTTATGTTGCCATTCCAAGTACTTTTTGCACTTCCTTCTTTCAGTACATGTTGGCTGTCAAATTAAAATTTAAGGGTGTTGTCTGTTAATACTGTCTATTTCTCCTTCTTAGTCTGAAAGCTCTCTCCCATTTCCCTAACAGGTTGTCACTTATCCCACTGCCAAAACTGTCCTTCCTGTTTCTACTCGATCACATGAGCTGTTTGTTAGAATGTGGAGAAGCTGAATTTTGTGTTTTATCTCTTTGAAGGAGCAAGATGAAGAGAAATGGGCGAGAGATTTGTCAAGGCCGCTGGTCAGGCAGGAAGCTGTGAGTGTGGTTAGCTGAGAGGAACTACAGAGGGGAAGCTGTTATGCCTTTTTTTTAACTGCATTCATACTGCGTAGTCCCCCAGACTGAACTGGAACTGGCCACTGAAGGACAAAAGAAAGAGTTAAGGAAGTTTTTAGATAGGAAAAGTAAAGCCGGAGACTAGAGAAAAACATTGATGACAGAAGAAAACATACACCATTCCTTCCACAAGTGTCAGAAGAGAGGCAGTGTAGTTGAGGCCTGAGACTGGTCATGCTGTCAGTGTGAGCTCTGGGGATATTGTACTGTATGGGCCCAACGATGGCAGTTTTGGCAGGTGCGAAGCCTGGGACTGGACAAAGGGCAGGTGAAGGGAGGCTGTCCTGGCCAGTTTTCCTGCTTACGCTAGCTGCTGTCACCTCCTCCTCTCTTTCAGCTTTGTCCCTGTACCAACTGATGGCTCTCAGAGCTGAGGTAGAGGGACTCAAATCAGAGGTCTGTCGCAGGAGAGAAGAGGGACAAGATGCCAAGCAGGCAAGCCAGGTGAGAGAGTCCTTAGGGCATTACACAAAACACTCCATCTGCGCAGGATTGTAAATACAAGCATTTTACCAGCATGCATTGCTTTTCTAAGGACTTATTTTTGTCTGTTCAGACTGAGAATATTGGTAGCAGGAGAAACATCCAAGAGCCCTTGCACCAGCCTGAGTCTCAACATGCTCTACCCTTGATAAGGAAGAGAAGACAGGTCTCCGTAACAGAGGCATTGGGTAAGACATGGCAGGCTGCACTTGAGCCTGACAGTTCGTTGTTTATGTATAAGATAGACAGTTATTAGTTTCTTTAGTTTGCCTGCAGGGCAGGATTGTGTTTTACAAATCTATCGGTTCAGTTGCAAAAAGGCTGAGTAATGTATACTGAATACATTTCTTGTTCTTAAGGTGGTGATCAGTCCTTTATCATTAATCAATCATTCATTATTATTATGATTGTTGTAAGTCAGTTTAATTTATCAGAGGGCTTTATGGTCTGTTAACACCCTCTATCCTTACACCCTTTATCCAGACGAGAAAAAAAAACTCATTGTTCACTTCAAAACAGACAACAGCCAAGTGTGAATGATGAGCTTTGGTGATAACCACATGAAAAAAATAAGAAGTCTGAGGTGGTGAGGTAATGCTAGCATCTGTCAGTGCTCACTCTTAAAACTAATAGCACGAATGTGCTCACCATCAGCTCAAGCTATTTAACAATACCCAGGGTGAAATATTTACAGTAGACCGCTGCGGAGTGCAGAGTTTCACCCACAAAGGAGAAAGAAAAGGAGCCGAAGCAAAAAGAGAGACAGCAATGTGCAGATTGTAAGAAAACTGCAGACCAGTTTTAACATTAGGTCTAAATTTCTCTCATGTTTTGTCACAGTTTCTCAGCCTTGCCTGCAGTTGTTGGCAAACACTACCAGGAAACTCTTCAGGAAAGGTACAGGATGCCAGGCCTTGGTTATGATAGTTTGGTGGTTTATAATAGTTTTTATTTGAATTTGATGTAGGTTTTATTTACATTTTACGATGTAATTGTATTTTCTGATTGGACTTCACAGGTTTACATTAGTAAATATAAGTATTAATAAAATCTATTTTTGGCTAAAATGTATCTGTGCAGTGACTCCAGTAACTTACTCGAAACAGGGTGAATGTTAGCTTTATAGCTTTGACATGTTTTCTGATATATTCTTATTTTTTGAATCAGACATTTCCTCGATGCCGCACATAGGTATCCCTTGGCAGGCTGGGCTGAGGAGAGGCTCTGCCCTGGAGTTATTTAGAGACAGGATATTAGTCAATGAGGAGGGCTTCTACTTTGTCTACAGTCAGGTAGGTCTTTTTGTTGTCATTTCATAATTCCTCCACAGGAGCGCGCTGCTAGTCTGTTTGCCAATCACCAGATTTTACATAGGAGAGGAACACTGCATACATCACAGAAAACAGGGTGTGATCGATCTAAGCATGCAGTTTCTTAACAGACCTTGAAGAAAGGTCAGATAAAGAAGAGAACATGCAAATGATGTGTGCACAATAAATGAAGTAGCAAATGCTGCACCACCCACATTTGTACATGGTAAAACCGAAACCTGGGCTATACCTCACAGATTTAACCCAGTATTTTGGATATGCCCAGGTCTACTACATGGACAGCACCTTTGCAATGGGTCACGTTGTGATCCGGTGGAAGAAGAATGTGGTGGGAGATGAGCCTCAGTACGTGTTCCTGTTCCGCTGCATCCAGAACATGAACACTGACCACCCTTACAACACCTGCTACACAGGAGGTGAGGCTTTGTTATTGTCTCTGTCTAGCTATGTTCACCCTTTTTAAAAACAGCTGTTACGGGAGGTCAAGGAACATGTTAAACTCTTTACTCAAGCTCTCAAGCATGTGTGTGAGTATGAGTATGATTGTGTGTGTGTGTGTGTGTGTGTGTGTGTGTGTGTGTGTGTGTCAGTAGCTTGGTATGGGTTGGGGAAAATGGCCGTTCAAAGTCTGTACATTTGCATCCCTCAGGTATTGTGAAGCTGGAATTGGGGGACCACTTGGAGTTGCTGATCCCTCGTTCCACAGCCAACGTGTCTCTAGATGGAGACTCCACCTTCCTGGGCGCTTTCAAACTGGCTTAAAGTGTGTCACCCTTACTTTGGACCCTGAGGGACGTTGTTGTCTAACAAACTGTGTAACAAGGCACAGTTCTGGTGACCTCACCTGACCTTGGGTGTTGTGAGAAGAATACAGCAAGCAGCCATTGTTGGGCTGGCTGAATGATTGACTGTGTGACTCCTAGCTTGTTCAGCCTGAGGGACATAAAGGGGACTATGAGTAGATACCAAAGTCTTCTTTACTCTTAAAAATAAATGCATCTTATAGCTACAGCCATATTACGTTCATTTCTACCATTCATCAAGACAAGATGTTAGAATAGAGAAACTGTCATAATCAAGTAGTTTTTCTTTCTTTAAATAATCACAAATACATATGTGAAACTCTTCTGAAACTTTGTCCAACTTGTAAGAAGTGTGTTTCTTGTGTGAAATAATTCTCATACTGTTAAATCATACAATAATCTTTGCTCCTGTAGCAGCAGAATTACTGTGCCACTGAGTTATTCTCATATGCTTTCATTATTTTACATATTTGAACATAAACATTTGTATGCCATAATTTCCTTCACATTTACCTATATATGTCTGTCTGACAGAAAATTCAGATGCAATAAAGTGACACACAAGAAACTTGCACAAGAAATGACGTCATCTGGAATCTGGGTGAAGGTTGTTGTTCCTTTGTTGGCCACATGAAGGAAGAACTTGGCAGCAGAGAAATGAATCGAGCTGAGGTTGAGCAGGAACAGTGGAAATTAGGTAAGGGAGCCTATTTTTAGATTGAGGCAAAACTATATAGGCACATGACGTGCACATTCAAAGGAGCTGCTGCTCAATGAATGATTAATGCCTGAGGACCCTGGAGGAAACAGTGAAATAACCTCAGCGGATGATTCTTCAGTTCATATTATGTTACATTAGTGGCAGAGGGACAGTTACACCTCTGGCAGGGTTCAGATACATTTTAGTCAATGGATTATCATGACTTCCATGACTTTATACAAAATTTCATGAATGAATAGATAATATGTACTGAATAATAAAATATACAGTGAACAATATTTCTGGCTGCATTTGGGGAAGAAACAACTAACACACTGCTGGAAGTTCCCCATTTCTGGATACAGAGGTTTGTTCGGTAGTTGATATTGATGTCTGTGTTGCCTACACACAGAAAAAGACTGTACTTGCTTGCACAACAACATACAGTGGGTACGGAAAGTATTCAGACCCCTTTAAATTTTTCACTCTTTGTTTCATTACAGCCATTTTCCAAAAATCAAAAAAGTTCATTTTTATTTCTCAGTAATGTACACTCAGCACCCCATCTTGACAGAAAAAAACAGAAATGGAGAAATTTTTGCAAATTTATTAAAAAAGAAAAACTGAAATATCACATGGTCATAAGTATTCAGACCCTTTGCCGTGACACTCATATTTAACTCAGGTGCTGTCTATTTCTTCTGATCATCCTTGAGATGGTTCTACACCTTCATTTGAGTCCAGCTGTGTTTGATTATACTGATTGGACTTGATTAGGAAAGCCACACACCTGTCTATATATAAGACCTTACAGCTCACAGTGCATGTCAGAGCAAATGAGAATCATGAGGTCAAAGGAACTGCCTGAAGAGCTCAGAGACAGAATTGTGGCAAGGCACAGATCTGGCCAAGGTTACAAAAAAATTTCTGCTGCACTTAAGGTTCCTAAGAGCACAGTGGCCTCCATAATCCTCAAATGGAAGACGTTTGGGACGACCAGAACCCTTCCTAGAGCTGGCCGTCCGGCCAAACTGAGCTATCGGGGGAGAAGAGCCTTGGTGAGAGAGGTAAAGAAGAACCCAAAGGTCACTGTGGCTGAGCTCCAGAGATGCAGTCGGGAGATGGGAGAAAGTTGTAGTAAGTCAACCATCACTGCAGCAATCCACCAGTTGGGGCTTTATGGCAGAGTGGCCCGACGGAAGCCTCTCCTCAGTGCAAGACACATGAAAGCCCGCATGGAGTTTGCTAAAAAACACCTGAAGGACTCCAAGAGGGTGATAAATAAGATCCTCTGGTCTGATGAGACCAAGATAGAACTTTTTGGCCTTAATTCTAAGCGGTATGTGTGGAGAAAACCAGGCACTGCTCATCACCTGTCCAATACAGTCTCAACAGTGAAGCACGGTGGTGGCAGCATCATGCTGTGGGGGTGTTTTTCAGCTGCAGGTACAGGACGACTGGTTGCAATCGAGGGAAAGATGAATGCGGCCAAGTACAGGGATATCCTGGACGAAAACCTTTTCCAGAGTGCTCTGGACCTCAGACTGGGCCGAAGGTTTACCTTCCAACAAGACAATGACCCTAAGCACACCGCTAAAATAACGAAGGAGTGGCTTCACAACAACTCCGTGGCTGTTCTTGAATGGCCCAGCCAGAGCCCTGACTTAAACCCAATTGAGCATCTCTGGAGAGACCTGAAAATGGCTGTCCACCAACGTTTACCATCCAACCTGACAGAACTGGAGAGGATCTGCAAGGAGGAATGGCAGAGGATACCCAAATCCAGATGTGAAAAACTTGTTGCATCTTTCCCAAAACGACTCATGGCTGTATTAGATCAAAAGGGTGCTTCTGCTAAATACTGAGCAAAGGGTCTGAATACTTATGACCATGTGATATTTCAGTTTTTCTTTTTTAATAAATTTGCAAAAATTTCTCCATTTCTGTTTTTTTCTGTCAAGATGGGGTGCTGAGTGTACATTACTGAGAAATAAAATGAACTTTTTTGATTTTGAGAAAATGGCTGCAATGAAACGAAGAGTGAAAAATTTAAAGGGGTCTGAATACTTTCCGTACCCACTGTATTTTGAAGTCAGGGATCAAGTGGTTCTTTGTTGGTTTTAAAGCTTTTGTGTGTTTTTTGACAAATGCAGACAACAAAAAACATTTTGGTGATCCAACAAGGAAATTTCCAATAGTTTGGAACCAAATATAAATAATCTTTCTGATAATTATGCAAATTTGAAAATATCACAAGGGCATCTGTCACTAGATGTGAGTAGTGGTTTGGGTCAGAATACCCAAGGGACATCCTCCCCCACCCCAATATGTTTCTATAGTGTGATTTTTATTGATGTGTAAAAAGTAATAAAAGACCACGATGTCTGAAAGAATGAAGACGTTATATCATATTTCAATACAAGGACATGAATGACTCATTCTCTGATAATGCTACTGGCTTATTCGTATATACTGTAAATAATGACTGAAGAATAAACAATAATTTAAAATGTTCAAATGGTGACAGAATTGAAAAACAGTTTGTTATTTTGTTTAATTTCAGGGCTGAAACCTCATCAAAGTAGCCTATTTAAATTTACATTGTCTTTTAAAAAGATGTTATTTCATTCAGCGTAAAAGAGTAGCCCCCACCCATCATATCACAATACAACAAGATCTCCCCCTATATTTCCCCAGATAGAGAGACATCTTGGGATATTTTTCAGCCAGATATTTTCTAACATGTCATTTTTGAAGAGATTGATATTTAAATATTTTTGTATTGAGTTCTTCCCCACTTGCCACACTTCGTCCTGTCTGTTTCTTCTGCTCTGTCTCTCTCTTTCGCTCTCTCTCTCTCTCTCACACAGGCCTTCTTTCTGTTGGGGCAAAGAGTTAGACAAAGCCCAGTGGGTGGTCACTTCTTCACTAGGCATTTTACCCTTGGAGTCATGGCTCCATTTGACAAGAAGAGAGCCCAGAAGAGGGGGAGGGAAGAAGAAAGTCTAAAATAGAAGGCTAAGAAAGAAAGATTTCAAATAGACTTAATGGATAGCAATAGCCATGAGTGGAAGAGCAAGCGGAAGGGAAGAGAGAGGCTATGAGGCTAAAACAGATCGAGAGAGCAGGCCAGGCCCGGCGTACTACAGCCATGGAAGTCTGAGAAGCTCTTTGATGGTCTGGTAAACAGAGCAGGCGGCTGTACAAACACCAGAGAAAAAGAAGACGAAGGAGAGGGAGGAGGGTAGAAGAGACCTCTCCTATAAATGTGTCAAGCATGATGCTCCCCCTCCCTCTGGGGCCAGAAATGTCTTTGTGTGGTGCCATGGTGATGGCTGGTGTGTTGGCGGAAGCTGATGTCATTGTGGGCCTCGGCCCTCAAAAGAGAAACCAGCATCTGACCGGCGAATCAGGAAATGAGCCCTGCTGTGTACACATGCTGGCACTGTGTACAGTTCACACACTCACACGTTGCGAATACACAAAGTCAAAGTACTGAACATACAGAAAAGCTGACGGACATACATCACTGTAACAAAAAAAAGAAGGGGCAAACATAATATTTACAACGATTCAGTTTTGTTTGTTTTCATTCTGGTACTAGTTTAAGCAGAATTTGCATTTGAATATTTAACATATAATTTAAATGTACTTTTTAGCTGGAGTTGACAAAAAACATATAATAGTTGTCACACTAATATCTGAGTGTAAAGACTTCAGACCTCTTCTTTAAAAACTAGGCAAGACAAAAACAACACAATATCTTTTCCTAAAATCACAGAATATTTTGCTTGCTTGTAAGAGAGAGGTATAAATTCAGGGGAACCATCAGTCCCTGTCTGTCTCCTTTATTCTCCCATTTTTCAGACTGCATCCCTTGTGTTAAATGTGGACCTTAGCGTCTCTGTGTCCCCATCTGCCCCTGTTTGGGAGCTCTCGCACAGGTCTGACTGATGACAGGGGCAAAAGGTGATCCCTGCATCCTGATTATAAAACCCAGCATGTTCTGTTCCTGCAAAACACACGGCAGCGTTTGCAAGTAGATATAGACACACACACACATATGCATACACGCACCTTCATTGCCTCCCCAAAATACATTCAAAATGTACAGCGCACAAATTGTCTCACTGTACTTCAGTGTACTACATGGTTGTTCCATGTATGTACTTCTCTAATGTTTGGGGATTACTTTGATCTGCTACAGTCAGTCCAAAGTAATCAGGCTGATCCAGAGCCATGCAGCTGAACTGGCAGCAGCACTGCATGGATTTCTCATTTAAGTGAGGATTTGGTTTATCAACAAACTGGATTGGGCCATCCGTTATTATTAAGTCTGAACACCACATACCGTGCTTGCCATGCTGCAGATTCAGCTTGAGAAGACACTAATTGTTTTTGAGCTGAAAAACGTGACTGACCCAGCAGAATGAGAGGTTTATTTGCTCTTAACAGCGTTAAAATTAGATGTGGTTTTGTTTTTTTCCTCCCCTGACTGCATAGGATCTACTGGAATATAAGCTGATCTATAATTCATATGGTTCTGCATCTGACTGGAATCAAACCATGATGAAACGGCAGGCTTGCAATATGCATCTGTGCAAGAAAAGTAAGAGCAGATTTAAAAGTTGCCTCTGTTTAAGCTCATCTTGATAGATCTTGGTTCTTCTTTTTCTCTGGCATTTCTCTGAAGGACATCAGCCTATGACAGAGGAAAGGAAAAACATCAAATGGATGAGAGGAGGGACGGATTTTGGTTTGCCACAACTCTGCCCCCCTTCCTCTCTCAATATCCTGACTCCCACTCTCTACTCTGCTTTATGGCTCCAAGATGGAGCTTTGGCTCACACACACACCCACAGAGCCAGCAACATTTGTCTAGGGC